AGAGAGAGAGAAAGAGAGGAGGGAGAGAGAGAGAGAGAAGCCACGGTACTGCATAGAGAACGCAACCGCGAACAATCCCTTCGGAAACCGGCCAACCCGCTCGAGGGCCCGCCGTCAACTGATCGGATCCGTTGAGACCGGCGTGGCGAGACTCGGTTGTTCTATAGCCTGACCCACAAGCACGGCCTGTGTCGGATCTCATGCCGCCTCAACGCCGGATACAGCCTGACGATTCGTCGGCCGCGCGGCGACCGTGGTTGTGAGTGGCGAACGGGCTGGTGTGTGCGTGACGTGTCGTCGCCTCCTGTGTGCAGCTCATAACCCCGTTGTGTCTCGCGCGAGTGCTTACGAGCGAGTGCGTACGCCGGGGCATTCGTTAATACCGTTTCCGGCGTGCGCCTGGGTCGTGCATATACAGTTTCGGTTGTGTTGCCTGTCCCTATTGTATCTCTCGCGCGCGGCGTCCATCTATCCGTCCGTCCGACTCTTGTCGTTCCCCGTCTTCTGCGTGTGCGCTTGTCATTATCTTCACCATCATCTTCATCTTCATCCTCTTCTTCTTCTTCTTCTTCGTCTTCTGTGGAGTATAGACGCAGCGTCACGGGTTTCCGCTGTTTCGCTCCTCTCGCAGGAGGTCAGCACCTCAGCGTCGGTAGGTAGGTAAATGCGGAATGCGGGACTTTGGGGTTGCTGGAACGTGAAAGATGCCGGACTTTCAAGAGGAAGAGAGAAGGAGTAAGAAAAAAGAGAAAGACAGGTCGTGCTTCCCATTACCTCTCGAAAGGAGAACTCACGGTGAAATATGAGCGGCCGGTTTCGGTAGTTTTCTTCTCTTTGCGTTGGCGGCCAACGCGGGGGATCCCACAGTGTACCTATCTCGCGTGTGAAGCCACCGGTACCGAAATTCGCGCAACGATTGGACGAGCTGATTCGTGGCGAATGTTCGCCAATCGCTTCTCCACGGGACTCCTCAATGAAAAATCGTGCGTGAGAGTCACAGAGATTTAAATGGGCTTTCTTGTTGATCTCGCTGATGAACGGAAATTCAACAACGTCAAAAACGATCGGGTTGTTCGTAGACTCTTATCTAATAGGTGGTCACGATTTGAAATCATGTTGGTTAGTAAGAACTTCAACGCATGGATATAGCCCGACAGATTTCCTGCAGTGAGGAAGAATGTGATCTGTAAATGAAAGTATCGAAATGTTTTGTTTATAAATTACGATACGAAAATAAGATTTCTCTTGAATTGTGTATTATAACTTTAGCTTCGATATCTAATTTTCAGTAAATATCAATTAAGAGTAATAACATCAATGTTATAATTAACAGTTACATCGCGTTAAATTAGACATATAAAATTATAACATTGATTATGTTACTTTTTCGCTAGTTTGTTTATTGATTTAACTTTATGAATTTTCTTTTGTATTTCTCAAAATATAAACAACTGATGTATTCTCAGCGTTAAATATCATCAAACGTATTCTGTTATAAGTTTTCATATTTTATTTTGCCGTCATTTTATGTCATTTTAAATGCGCAGAATTTTCAAAAGACGTAGGGATCGAATCTATATTCAAAGTCTAAAGAATAACTTCTCTCTTTCCTCGCGCAAAGCGCATACGGTCTTCATTTATCATCGTGTTTCGTAATATTCATCGTGAGAAATGCATTTCGATGGGATTACGGATAGCATATCTGTAAACGCAGGACGAGTGTGTGAAATGTTTCAACGTGTGTGAAGATAAGACAAGAATCGACAGCTCGGCAACGGGGTTGGTTTGCCCTACTCCCGCCGCCATTGTGCGTCTCTCTTGTTTACGAACGGTGTTCGTAGAATAACGCGTAGAGAAGCCATGTGGCCGTAAACACGGAATATCCTCAGCTATGTTCAGATTCCCACCTGAGTATCGCCCAGGTATCGTTTTATCCTTGTGATTTATCGAATGTTAAATCGAATTTTAAGAATAAAACTTGGGGTATACTCGAGTAAAAATCTGAACCCTTAGAGAAGTTAGATATCGTTTCACCGTGTAGATAAATTTTTTGAAAAGTTGTGTGCATTTTTTATTATTTAAGAGGTGATTTAAAAGGAGCAATACATTTTAAAAATTAATGTATTAATTAATGTGAATGAAAAAGCGATAAATTAATAAATTATTTAATAAATTATTAAAAAATTTTAATCAGCTCATTCAAATATCAAAATTCGACGATTTATCTTCTTCACATCTTAACACATTATTACGCGCATTTTATTCGACAATGAAACGCGATTAGCGTAGAAGATAATTCTGTTAGTTAGCTCATTCCAACTCTAAATGAATAATTTATGCTGAGCAATATTCCGAGAAGATTGCAACGTATCGCATTTATGCTCCTTCAAATCTACGCATTCTGACACATAAGTGCAACATTTGCAGTTTCATATCTAAGAAATATGATGATTCTTCCACGATAAAGCGTCACTGAACTTGCACATTTGTAGATAACCTGTATATTTATATGAACTTTATACATTAGTCAATAATTATAAAACTTGATATACAAAATTATTCATAACCAATAATTGTTATCTACAAATCTTTCATTTATAAAAATTCTAGTAAACATTCCAATGAATAGCTTAGAATAAAAATAATATTTATTTTGAAAATAATATATATAGCTCAATTTTTTGATATTATGAATTTTAAGAAAATAAAATTAAATTTTACGTAAAATATTTCAAATATTTATATGTATAATTTATAGTAAATCTATTAATAATAAAATACTATATTTTAAATATATTTTATTATATACAACAAATGTATCTGTTATATATAAAAAAAATATTATGAATTAATTAAAAGACAAAGAATTTTTATAAATTAAAAATTTTTGTTTAAATCATTAACCTTTTTTTACATAAATTATATCAATTATCTTTAAAAAATATATATTAATTTTAAACAGTAAAATCATTGAACGATTTAACGAAAATTATTTTCTAGAACGAATATTTTTATGAAAGGTGGATCATATTCAGCTTCCTGGATACCTTCGAAATGATATACTGAATATGCATACTCTCTTTATCCTCGATTTTTCGTTCTAGAAATAGAAGTGAATGAGAGCGTCGAGCAAGTGTTTGTTGTGTAAAAGACTTGAGTACATAGTAGTGTCAATTCTGCAGATAATCTAGAAGCAGCGACGCCCTGTTTACTCAGTTCGGTAGTCTAGCGTAGCAAACGAGGCTCCAGAATATCGTCAAAGATGTATTTTCAGCGTCCTTAATTGAATAGGACGACGTGGCACTCATAAATTATTCGAGTTTCTAATTAGACCGTCACAGCGTTCCTCCGCGGTGAAGTTTTTCCCGCACGAAGAACGGCATTTTTTGTCGACAATTTTATAGGGAAAGAGAATGCAGATTGGTTAAACTTAAACAACATTCCATTTGGTTTTCCAACATAATAACCGTAATATAGGTATATAACAATGTAATAATCTCTTTTTTTTATGAGACTTTCTAATATTTCCAATTGACAATTACAAGTTGTTTACAACATGTTATTTTTCATCGAGAAGATCGCTCTCTTTATGCTTAAAAAATGGTACAATTAAAAAAAATATGATTTTTTAATTATTACCATGAATAAATCATGTAAA